GCTTTGAAACCTTCACCTTAATTTGTAGAAAAAAAAACAATATTTAAATAAAAAATGATTAAATCTGATTTCTAGAATAGAACATAGGAAAGAATATTTTTAATTATAGATTTTCTGCAGGATAAACATGTTTGGGTCATTATTATCTTTTTAGACATTATTCCTCTGACAACTACTTGAACGAAGCCAAAGAATTGAAGCATCAAGCAGATAAAGAGGTAGATTTGTTTTCATGTTTGTATTTCAAGTTAGTTGGAGCTTTAGAAATATCATGTATTAATGCATTAAGGAAGAACTTGAATATGATGGATGAGACAAAGGCAAATTTCTTTACTTCAAATTTGTTTATATGACCAAAAAATGTGAAATAATAATGAATTTCTCTAAAGTGTTAAATGTTATATTGTTCTTTATTTTTATTTCTTCAGTTTTGAAAATTTTATAATGGTTTTTAACACCAGAAACACACCGTAGTTCTTGTTATTACTGATCAAGTATTATTCTGTTCTTTGAAAGAACCTAATAGTTATAAACTAAGTAATTATATCATATATATATATTTTTAGGTATTTTATAAAAAGTCTTTCTTTTAGGGTAGAAGATGCACTGAAAAATGGAGTTAAACATTGCTTTAGACAGCAGACTGTACATGTTAACAACTGTGTTTTTTTTGTGTATGGTTTTGAAAAAAACATTTTAGGTTCCTGCCAAATGAGTCGATGTGTTAAACTTCATCTTCGTTCCTGAAAAAAAAAAAAGACTTAAACTTTAACTACAGAAAAAAGAAACTGCAATGATCCATGATAAACAAAGTAAATGATATGCATTGGAAATTTTTACCAGCATTGTTTAGATGTTTTATTACATCTGATAGTGTAAAAGGCATAATATTTTGATATTGCTTCTGATATACACTTTGCAATTAATTTTTTTAACAATTAAAAAATGAAATAATTTTTTAAACTTGAGAATATTTCGTTCTCCTTTAGCTCCTGAAAATGCAGTAATTCAATAAAAAAATTTTATTGTATTTCTTTTTAACATCTGGTAAGTTTTGTTATTCCTTTTTAAAATCCAGCAACATTTTTTTTTCATTACAAATTTTGTGTTACAAACCTTCAAAGTTATACTCAAAGTTCTGTATGATTAAAAAAGTTGTTTTTAATTTTAGTAAAGTTAAGGGAAAATTGTTTATTATAGATGATATGTTTTTTAGGTAGACAGGACTGTTCAGGCAATGAAATACCTAGAGGCTGTCTTGTACTTCACACTCACAGGAAATGCTATGGAGCACAATTGTGTAGATGGTGACAAGGTATACACAATGTACAAAGAAACTTTAGGTTTGATTAGGTATGTACTAATCTGTGATCTAGTACAAATGTAAAAACTTACTAATAAGTAAATTATGGACTCTAGCTATCTGTGTTTCATTGTTGTTTCACATGCAAGATATTTAACTGTAGTTTGAGTGCATAATTGTATATGGAGTGACTTTAATGGTTTTTCTGAGGCCCGAAAGACTGGATTTTTCTTCCTCTATAGGTAGGCTTAAGCCAAGTTTATAAAGCAGTAAAAATTTATTTTTGTCAGTATTTTCTGTACAAAAAATGAAAAAGTTGTTATGGGGATGGAATGTAGAATAAATAGATATGACCAAAATGACTAAAAACTGAAGCTGAGAACCAGAAATAACTTCTTCTGTTAATATAGGTTGCATAGATGTAACTCGGCAAAAACAAGTTCAGTTTTTCTGATTTAAAAAGAATTGTTTAGTGTAGCATAGAAGATCATGAATGGGAAATCACTTTAAAAAGTTTCTGTTTTTAGTGTGACAAAATCATTTTGTAGTGTTGGCTGACATTACATTGTATTTTATAGATTACAATATAAGATTGTTTAAGTGAATGTGATAGTTTTTTGCTTTAAGGTTTGAAGTTTATGGATGAACTTGGTCCTATATGTAAGGTTTCTGTATGTTCAGTATACCACACATGTGTGTGTGTGGTATACTGAAACATATATATATATATATATATTTTTTCTGTAGTTATTAATCTTTTACTATTTTGTTGATTGTCAATGAATTCTATTGACTTGATACAGGATTTTCAACTGTAATCAAAATATTTTTAGCTAGAGGACACAAATTGTGTTCCTATATAGGATCCACATTAGTATAACATAGCACCTACTGAAGCCATTTAAGTTTAGCTCATGAAAAACGTTATTGAAAACTATGTCTCAAACTCTGAGAAGGTATGAAGACTTGTACAGTACTAGTAGAATGCTCTGACAATTTTCACCATAAGCAATTATCTTTTAGTATTTGACTGAGATTGTCATTATTAAAATATATTATCAAAAATAGTTGGCTTCACCAATGTTTGAGTGTTACTTGGGTTTCTCCCATTAGGACTTATTCAACTAGTTAATTTGATTGTTTTCAAGAGGGCTATCCAGTTTTTGCTGACCTCTATGCTAGATTGACTGGGTTAAGTTGATGTAGAAGGTTTATTTTATTTTTATTATGTGTGGTTCATACCCCATTATTTTAGTATCATTCCAATTTATTGCATGGTCTTCTCTGGCATAGTGGGTTATTTCAGATAGATTGGTATTACTGAGTCTTGTACATGTATCATTATGCTGAATTCAAACCTTTTTAAGTGTTTTTGCTCTCCATTGAATATTTATAAGGTGGTTTGGTTTGTACTAATTGCAACTTTAATGTGTTGTGGCTCGTGAATACTGTTTTGACTTTATACCAGTAACATATCCCCTGTATGTTTTCAGGGAGACCTTTGAACATGGAAATATTGACTGTATATCTGTAATTTTCTTATTTATCATCTTTATTCTCTTCTTTATCATGGATTTCCAGTATCCATTGATCTAAATCCTGGGACTTCAAGTAACTGTTTACAGGGGGTTACATTTGAAATGTTCCATGTAGATGTTACAAGAAAGCTTAATTATGAACTCACCCTTATCATCAGTATTAATAACAAGAAAACCTAGTTATAGACTCATCCAGTCATCACTTCTCAGTAACACTTCGAATATAACACCTTCAGAACGACTGCTCTAAGTCCCATGATTTAGCTGAAATATGTTGACAGTACATTTGTAATATGGCCAAACACTAAATGCAAGACTTAAGAATTCATGAACCACTTGAAAAGAAGCATCCAGTTATACAATTCACAATATTTAATACAAGAATATAACAAACGTCCATTCCTAGATGCAATGGTTACCAAGATATATAAATTACGTGCCACAAGCATTTACAGGAAACCCACAGATTTGATTAAATACATCAACTGTAAATCAAACCACTCCAATAGTATAAAGATGGGCATCTTAAACTGCCTAATTTCAAGAACGAACAAGGTATGTAATACCAAAGATGCCAAAAACAAGGAAGAAAAACACATCACTATAACTTTTATTGATTGGATACCCAGAACATTCGCTAAAGAAGATAAATACTAAGAATTATGAAGAAACTTGCATGTATGTAGTCACATTCCCCTATATCAAAGGTCTCTTTGAAAGTTTACAGAGGATATGTAAACTGCATAAATACAGAACAGTATTAAGAAGTCATGACACAATATGATCTCAGTTAATACACACCAAACCATTTGAAGACTCAATGGAGAACAAACATCATTTATAACATTCCCTGTGCACGTAATTCAACACACTGGAGAAATTCAAAAGGCCAATAAAAGTTGGAATTCAGAAGCATAATAAATGTACAACACCCTGTAATACTTATCTATCTGTGATAGTCCATCATGCCAGAAAAGAAAACTGTAGAATAAATTGGAACATTACTAAAATAATAGGAAATGAACCACACGAGAAATAGAAAGATAAATAAAGCCTTCTACACCCACCTGACTGATGACACACTACATAGAAGCCAGCAAAACTGGACACTGCTCTAGGAAGAATTAATGTAAGTTAGTTGATTCAAGTCATAATGGAGTGAGGAGACCCCCGACCAATGGGAAAGCACCCAGTCACTCTATCAAGAAGACCTAAGCTATTGAAGATAGCAGCAGGTTACCAGTCACAACATGCTATAAAATCTAGCTATTAATTAGTAAATAAAAATATTAGAGCTAGTTGATCACATAGGCTACTAACCATGACAATTATTGATGTATGATTACCACAACCTTAATGTGAATACTTTTCCAAAATATTTTGTAAACAATATACCATATTGTTATTGAGTAGCAGCACTATTTCCTTGTGAATTGAAATTATGTGGTAATATTGTATTTATTTTATTAATAATTGAATATCATAGCCAGAATTTTGTTTTTCAGCAACATACACTGTTTCGTTGTGAAATTTGAACCTTTCTGTTAATTTTATGTAAAATTGCAATTTGGGTTTGATATATTATGAGATTGTAATATTTTGCATACTTTTTTTTCAGGCACATTTCTTCAAACTTTCAAAAATGTCAGCACAGTTCAAATTATGGAAACATTGACCGAAGATTAGCTGTGCTAAGGTAATATTTTTTAAAATGATTATTCTGTTTTTCCTATAATATTGTAATTTAACAAAGACTGTGACTATGTCAAAGCAAATAAATGAATGTAGTGTAAGTAAAACCTACTTACAATAAATTAAAATGTACAAGAACACACTAGTCAACAAAATACATAACTAGTTTAAAACTTAATTTTGAGCAGAATTACATCTCATCAAGATAAGAACATGAGATGTTGCTCAGTAGATCTAAGTAAGCTTTTAGTATGGAGAAAAGGCCTGGTGGTTAGGGCAATTGACTTGTAATCTGTGGGTCATGAATTTAAATCCTCATCATGGAACATGCTCTCCCTTTCAGCTGTGGGGGGCATTATAATTTGGCAGTCAATTTCACAATTTGTTGGTAAAAGAGTAGCCAAAGAGTTGATGGTGGGTGGTGTTGACTAGTTGCTTTCCCTCTAGTCTATCACTGCTAATTTAGGGACGGTTATAATAGATAGCTTTGAATGAAAATTCAGACCAAACCAAGGATGGAGAAAATGAATTTAGTATAGTTTTTATTCATACATCCTATTTTAATCTAATATATGCCCCCCAGTGGCACAGCGGTATGTCTGCAGACTTACAACACTAGAATCCAGGTTTCGATACCCGTGGTGGGCAGAGCACAGATAGCCCATTGTGTATCTTTGTGCTTAATTACAAACAAACAAACAATCTAATATTTTAATAGAAACTCAGTACTTTAATCAGTAGTAAAGATGGATAGCCTCAAATATTCTTTTGTATTGACAGTGATTAAAGGTAAATGAATGAATAGCAACAACAACATTATTAAAAAAAACATGAGAATTATACAATCTCTGTCATTATCAAAGTGTACTTTATAAATATAAGAAATTAAACAAAGTTAGTTTCAAAAGAACCGCGATACCATACAATAGAAACGTATGAATGTATATAAATCACAACCAAGTTTGCTTTTGCATAAGACATCACTAGACATAAAATGGATGGCTGACTATTTTTTTTTAATAAGTTTCCTAGTAGCAGCATGACATTTTCCTGAAAGTTATATTTAGTTTATGGTGCTACTTTTAATCAAATAGTCTTGTTTGCTGCTAGGTTCTTAAAATGTTGTAATATTCTTTAGCTTTATTTATTTTTTGAAAGGAGAATTATCTGTTAAGATAAACATTTTAAACAAAGAAGAAGCATTATCACTTGTGACACTGAATGTCATTGGAAGAATTTAATATGCCCGGTTTGTAAGTTTGAGCATGTATGTGTTAAAAGAGAATTGATTTGTAGTTTCAGCATAGTTGCAATTTATTCTTTTTCTCTTAGCCTTAGATGCCAGTCTCTGCTTTACCTTAAACTGTATCGTTTAAAGAGGGTTGAAGTCAGAGAACTACACAAGTCTTTAAATGACTTTCAGAAGGTGAGATTTGAAAATAACTCAAGATCTGTAATGAAAACACAGTTAGTTACTTCACAGCTATGATGTGAAGATGTTATTAAAATTTATTACATTGTTCATACAAAATCTTTTGAACTTAAAGATTCATGTTGAATGAGCATGAATTATATAAACATAATTTAATAACTTTATTTTAATCCACTTGTGGCACACTGCAAAGTATTAATTGTTAAAACATATTTAACTAGGATGAATGACTTCTCATACATCAGTGTAAAAAACATCCTTTTATTTTGAAGTTTACTCGTAGTTTCAAATGCAAAATACTCATTTTTTTTAAATTGATTACAAGAAAGTGTAATAAATTAAATTGAAAATTTACTAAGAATATCTTGCAGACAATATTGAAAATCATCTTTGAATCAATAAATGTAAATGGTTTATTTCTACTTAAATTCCCTTTTGTTTTGATAATTCTACTTATTTCATTGTTCAAAATTAACTCATTGACTGCAGCTGCTCTAAATGCATGTGGAATTTTTGCAAGCCATACCCTGTATATGGCACACTTGCATTCAACTGCTGGAGGTGGACCGTACCCTATACCGTGAATCAGCAGTCAGTGGGTTAATATATAATTATATACAAATATTTCAGGTTTTTGTCATTTTCATTCCACTGAGACTTAACATGTATATGCAAGTATTTATTTCAAACTTGTGGCTTTGTAATATAATGATTTTAATGTTTTTAATAGTCTCCAGCCAGTCAAATGGTTTCCCATCCATCGCCACTCCCACCCAGCAACTATACTCCAAATCCTTCATCACGGTTTTCATATCCTTCTCCATGTCATTCAAGAAGCTATGGTGGGTCTGGGGCTAATGGTGTTCCTTCCCCACATTCTCCCACACCTTCACCAGCAGGAAGTGTGGGGTCTCAGAGTAGTGGATACAGCAGTAGTGAGTTGAATGGGCGCTGCAATACAGTGCAGTCAGGGAATTGTCACAACAGTCATTCCATATCAGGCCCAAGTCATTTATCCAGCACACACTACCATTCAACTGTGGGAGTTCCTCAGAACATGTACAGTATGATGCAGAAACAAAACATCCACCTTACAAATCTGCACATGTGTTTGGATCTGTGGGAACAAGCTGACTTTCTGATAGAACACAGTGGCTCACGAGGTATCTTAGAATATTACTCTCTCTAATATCTGTTTATGTATTTCTAATCAATCCTATCCTAACCAGATTTGTATTATTAGATGTATGTTTTGTTTTTATAAGTGAGAAGACTTCTCATTATTTGTACCAGTTTATCTCGTATGTTACACATTTTGAACTGTTTCTTGGTTTGATGTTAGTTTGTAAGATATTTTGCCTTTAAATTTTTTTTTATACATGTTTAATAAAGAAACAAAGAATAAAATGTTGACAAATGAATATGTATACTTATGCTTTAACATATATTTTATCTTTCCTGCTTCAGAATTTTTTTCTGCACTGGACAAAAGTTGTGGTCACCTAACACTCCACAGCTCCTTTTCTGACCTTGTCCGTTATGTTCGTGCTGGACTCTATAGGCTTAAGGAAGGAACATGAAGTTCAGTGGATTCCCATTTTTAGAAAAGAACTGAACTGGTTCCTGCAAGTCAGGGATCATTTATTGTAGCAAAATGTACATTTTCATCACATTTTGAACACAATGTATAGGAGCAAAATTTCATCAGTGGAAGTTAATACTCCCTATGTATCTTACACAACTCCGATTATCAGGCTGGAGACTCATGTAATCGAGAAATAATGCTGTTTTCTCATCCAAGGGTTATTATTAAATATGTATGTATATTTTTGTACATAGTGTAACTGTAAACCAATTTGTGCTTTTTTGTTTGTTGCAGACACTTGGGATAGATATTACTCGTACACATAATACGTTCATGATGGAAAGAAAGTTAATCACTAATTTTAATTTTGTCAAGTACAAAATATTATAAGTTAGTTTGATTAAAAAGTAATAAATAGCTAGCAATCAATCATTTTTTATTATGTTGAATTTTTGATAAATTTAAATACAGCAGAATTAAATTTTTATTATACAGATTAATTCAGCTTCATGGAATTACATTTTTATCCCATGTTTTTCATGTCTTTTTTTTTTGTACATGAATTTTTCTGTTAAGTGTAAACATATTCCTTTTTATCTATTATATTGAAAGTTATATATATATATGTATGAGCAAATATATGAATAAGAATGTCAGAGCAGGCATAAACATTTAATTGGATTTAAGATCATTGTATGTCCAGTAAATTATGTGGTTTGTATACTGCAAAGGCACTTTAAAGTCAGGTGTTGATCATAGCTTCAAGATTTAATAAATATATACAGCAAAAATGTTATACCATACAACTTGTAATCTTGCTATTTTACAGGATAAGAACTATTGAGAACATTCACATAAAAATGGAAAACATTTTTTACAGAGGTTTTTCATTTAATCAATTCTACCTAAAGACTTGTTTTACACACTAAAACAATTATTCCAGTTGATTGATTTTGCAGGGTTTACTTAGGAATCAGTTGGATAAAATACTTGGTTTAAATTATGTCTGTTTTCAGATTTTTGATTAATGACATGTTTGACTGTAGAGAAAGTTCATAAAACAAAATAATTAAAACCTTGAAATTTTTGAGACAGCAGATATTTTTACATTTACTTACTGAAATGTGCTCATCTATATAGATTTACTCATTATTGTATAAAGCAATTGACTTGCTAGTTATTATCAGCTAGAAAAAAGATTGTCTTTTCATAGTTAATTTATTTCGTTTAACTTAAAAAAAAAAGGTTGTGGATATTTGATGTAGAATGGAGTTCAGCTCGATATAAAATTGTTGTTGAAAAGGTTGGTCTTGTGAACTTGCTGAAATATTTACTCTTATTGATGTGTCCACTTTTTACATTTTTTGTGATCTGTGTATACTTGTGCTGTATGGACAATAGTGCCTAGATTTGTTAAGGATTTACTGTTCGGACTGCTGTTTCCCCTTGACCAGTGCACAGTTCATGTAAAGATCATATGTTTAAAAATGTTTTTGTGAAGTAGAGACTTAAAACTACATTCAACAGAAATTATGTTGTTGTTGACATGATGTTCCAGTTTCTACTTTGTGTTGTTTTAAGCTAAAAATGTTTGGATCCCCCAATTATGATAATTTATTTTATGACAGATATATATGGCTATCCATTATGAAATACTTTTGAAATGAAAGTTTGGTTTTTCTTTTATAAAAATAAAAGACGAGTGTCTTCTTTATAAAACTAAAGTGAAATGATGATGTTTAAAATGCAGTGGAACAAGATTTTTGTCAAGTAATTTCATTCAGCAGATATATAGTTTTCTGTAATGTCAATACAAAAGAGGAATTTATAATGTTCTTAAGAATTTGAGTTTATTTATATAGCATATAAAATTGTTAAAGTAATGTAAAATAACTTCATATCACAACAAAATTGATCCTTTTATATGTATACATATATATATATTTCTAAAATGAAATAACTACTTTATATAATGGGTTTCTAACATAATGGATTGAGAGAGGTTTTTTTAAATTGCCTGTCTAACAATGACAGGTTAGGGAGTGATAGGCTTTTTTGTGTGAACTTTCAAGGGGACCATGTGCTAAGGTATGAGTTCAGATTTCTTACTGAAATGTTTCTAAGGTAAGCTGTATTTATGTGTTTTAAAGTTAATGTGCTTTATAGAAAAACTGATTACATATTATAAAGTTCGATTGAAAATCTGATCATTATTTCTGCATTTAAAAAAGTGAGCTAATAATTTTCATGGCTCTGCAGTAAAAATTAAATCTTATGGTGTCCTTAGTTCAAGAAATATATTTTCTGTATGTTAAATATTAATTTTATTACAGTTGTTTTATAGCAATTTACAATGCTTATTGCTGCTATAGCTTTTTCTAGTGTTTCAGAAATGAATGGATATTAAGAAAATATTTCATAAAGGATTTTTATTCTTCAAAGAAAAATGACTTTCCGACTTTTTTCATAACAATATTGTTGAAACCTTTGTTGTTCTGTTTAGCACTGAGTACTTCTTTAACAGCAGAAAAAAAAAAATTGAATTATAAAATGTTTATCTACATTGAAGAAATCAAGGAAAATTTAGCATTTGACAAATTTTATCGCTTGTTGCTTAACTTTTTGTTTGTGATAAACGTTCGGTGATCTAACTCTTTAGTAATGCTTTTATCTAGTATGAATTTTATGCAGTTGTAATTCATACTAGGATGAGAAAAATATATTTTTTGTTCCCTTCAGGAAACTGGTGCTACAGTTTCTCTTGTCTTTGTATTGTGACTGCATTTTTCTTAAGTGTTTGATAATAACTATGCTACACTTCTAATATTAGTTATCAACGTTAACATTTCACCATGTCTGTCATATATTAAAGCTGTGAAAATCTATATTACAGATGCTTAAGACTTTTATCCAGGGTTCTTGAGGGCTAAAATTCAACTTGTAATGCTATAAATAGAAGCCGATTGTTCATGACCCAATATATCTATATATAAAAACAAAACTTTGTTAAAAAAGGATGTTTATTGTAATATAAATGCATGAACTTTCCATGTATTTTACATATCAGAAGATGTGCCCATAAAGATCATACATTTAATCTCATGTAAGTAGAATTTAAGTTGTCTACATCTCTGCACCTGTTGTTAATGAAATGTTTTAAATTACATTATTAATTAAGTTTATTTTGAGACTTGTATCTGTCTCATTATATGTTATTTCACTTTTAAACTGAAAGAATTTTAGTCAGACGTTTCCTGGAAAATTTTCAAAGTAGTCAGGATTTTAAAAAAATATTAATGCTCCTGGTTTCTTTGAGTCAATTTAAATGGTTTTGATAGTTCTAGGTTGGTTGCATTTTTTAAATAAACTCGAATTTGTTGGTGAAATTTTCAATTATTTGTACATGTAACCAATATAACAGAAACACCATCAAAAATACTTTGCAGTTTCCCAATCAACGGAAGTAGGAAATGGCTTGATATCAAGCTACAAAACAGGACTGTCAAATTAGATTATTACCAGGAAATTGTGAGCAATTAATTCTAGGTACCTTAAATGTAACCCTTTCTCCCTTAACAAAACTCTGAATAGTCAAAAACAAATTTCATACAGAGCTGTTTTACCTTTAATATTAAGTTCTGGTGATAAACTCAGTGTGGTTTACTTTGCATCTTCAGTGTACTTGGTTTTTGGAAAGTTTTATTATATGTCAAAATGAGCAGCTAAAAATAAAATATTTACATTAAGGATGTTCATTAATACTTATTCTGGAAATCTGGAGCTGAAAATCTTTCTGTGAAATTATGTATTTGAAAATGTATAATATTACAACATAATAGTTTTGTGTAAATGTTACTTGTAAAGCAGCACAACAGAGAAAATAATATTGGCTGTTAACTGGCAGTGTGTCATCTACTAAATGTTTACAAGCTGTGAAAATAATGCTTGAAGTATTAGTAACAATTAATTTGTTTTATTACATTTGAACATAGGGGATTCTGTGGGCCAAATTCATTTTGAAGTTACTAATCTGTGCAATATAGTTTTATGGAAAATGACATGTACTCATAATTTTGTCAAGTGTATTTTAATTTGATTGTTATAGTGTGTAAGTAAAGCTGAAAAGTTTCTTACTACAAAGCTTTGAATTGGATATATAGTAGTACTGGACATCTTTGATTTGAGCAGTGTTATTATGTGAAATTTGTACTATGAGGGCATGTGTGGACAAACCACTTTATAATAGTGGCTATAATTTTTTGAAAGGATTTCTAGGAGTTGATCCAGGGTAACACTGAAACCAGTGAATCAAGTACATTTAGGGTTATACGATTTATGCACGACAAATAAAACGAAGTTGTCTTCCTAAAAATGCATTGTGAAAGTAAGATTTGTAAAAAATAAAAGAAAAAAAGTTATATCTTTGTGTAACAAAACAATTCCAAAGTGAAGTATATTTTATATAAAATATATTTATTAACTGCACTACAATCCAAACTGATAGTGTATAAAAAGTTAAAACCTTTCTTAACATATGAAACTGATCATACAGTTTTCCAAAAAAAATTAACCAATTATAAATGGTTATTCCACAGATGTTGTACAAAGTAGGACAGGATCACATTACTAAACTATGACTATAAGGATAAGGAACATTATCTGTGTATTCAAGATAATTTGCTGTGGAATTTATTTTTTAATTGTGTATTAATGTAGATTAGAACCTATATGTACTGCTCTTTGAGGTTAGAAGTGGAACTGCATTTCCTCCAAAACAGCAGTTTTATAGTCTTGATTAAATTGGAACTAGGCAAAGGAAATTGTGGTTCAGTAAGTAAGAAATTAATGAGTCATGTGAAATGAAACATCTGTATCCTTGTTTTATATTGTTTCATTTTTATTTATCAGTAATAAAACCTGAAGAAAGCATAAAAGGATTATATTATTGAATACTTGATGGAATAGGCTCTCTATAACAGTTGTTACATTAAAAAGGAGGGAAAGAGATATTTGTTTGGGAAGGTGGATGTACAATCTGAACAGTTTAGTTGCAGTAATATTACATCTCACACTTTCCCAATGTTACCAATTGTTCTAAGTGCAAAAATGAACTTAAGAAGTTTTAAGATAGTGAAATATAGTCATGGAATGCAAAAAAATCAATAATATAAATTTCAGGTGTCAGATGCATGATTATATAAAAGGATAAATTTTGCCTACTAATTTTTATGTGCACACCATACTTGTTTTTCTAACCTAACAGAAACTACATTTTACATATACTGTTTTTGTACAAGTACAAAAGCTTACATTATTATTATTAGTTTATATGTGAGCTGTTAAGGGTTATGATGACTGTTTTTTTTTCATGAAAATTATATTTGGTCAAAATATGCACAATAATTATGACACCTCCTATCAAAATAAAAAACTGTCTACACACAATAACAAAGGATTCTTTTTGTTTTAATGCAAGGTTTTGTACAGAAAATATTAATTTCTACCCATCAACAAACGCTGAGCAAAACTATGCCTGATAATCACAAAATTCAGTCTCGAGTAGAGAAACAACTTATTAGAACACTGACACGATACTGTTAAAAATACAAGTTGCATCTTTAACTACGGTCTTTTTAACATTCACAAAAAGAATTATGTGACAATTATTTTTGAGTCTATTACAGTTTAATAACAATGGCATTGAGTTATAGTACAGATAAATTATAATCACAATTTTTTCTTCTTCTTCAGAGTAACTGTTTAGTGACAGGAAGACAAGAAATAAAAATTATGTTTTCTGAAACTGATAAAGAGCTTGCAGAAGGGAATGTTTAACTTTTCCACAAGCATTCAAGGCTTTGTTGGGCCTGAAATAAACATCACATATATAAGAACATTGTTTGTGCACATAAAATGTTTAAAAGAGATATATAAATAAATTATCAGAAAAGTGTATTTTCAGTCTGAATGCGAGTCTCATAATTTTACTGCTTCAGTAAACCATAACATCTGTGGTATTTACAAGTATTCAGTATATCTAACCAAATAAACCACAATAAGATTTCAAAATTAATTTATACAATAATGGTATATGTGACTATTCAACTGATCTGTAGCTATGTTGTTTTCCTCAATTCCAATAAAGGAAGAAAACTAGAAAAAGTTTTATATAAACTGTTAATACTCGTAATGAAAGTGCTGTACAAAAAATATAGCCATAAACTTAACACATCAGTGACAAACAGAACTGTAGCTACCTTGAAAAGAAAAGGTGTAGTACATCTTTGCTCGAGTTCTTGAAGTATCCCTGTTTCACTATATGTTCTAGCAAGACAATGGGACCATAGAGATCGGATACAGGTCTAAATTTTTTATCTTCACTCTGAAAAATAAAACTCTTCAGCCTTTTGCATTTATATCTAGGGTTGATCACAAAAATTGTTTTGTACGCATTTAATTATAGGCTTTCTTTATTTGATTATTAATTAGTTTTTGCAATCTAAATTACTGTGGTAAATCACACAATTAGTTTATGAGCTGCTGTGATCTGGCACACTGACATATATATATATATATATAAAAGGACCACCGCTTTATATGTGAAAAAGCATAACTTTGTTTATCAGTGTACAAAAAGAGTCAATACAAAGTCTTTAGGTATCCCAGCAAACAGAGGGTATTATTTTCTCCATCACGGTATTTCAAATTTTCAAGTATGACTTCAGAAACTTTGTTCTTTTTAAAGCCTTCAATACTCAGTAGCTAATAAATATTTCATTCAATTAGGGATTGTAATCAACTACATAATAGTACTAATTGGAATATACCAGCAAGTTGTATTTTATAATTCTTTTCATTTTTTGTTTTCTTTTGATCTTCACCATGTTACTGAGCCATTTGAAGGTTTCTAGTTAATGGCTCAGAGACAAATGAAAGCAAAAAAACCATGCCTTACATGCATGAAAAAGGAATACAGTAATTTTTAAATAGTTTTTAGGTACAGAAACTACTGAAGGCCATGAACAGAAGTAGAAGAGGTCACTATAAAATGCTCTTTATGGGTCAATCATAAATGACAAAAATTTGATCTCTTAATACAACTTAATATTCAAAAAAATGTTTAATTATTAATAGACCATAAA